AATTAAAGACGATAGCGTTCTAATAGCAGAAAAACTGGAAGGTCTGCAAAATATGCAAGTTACTAATGGAAGTGAAACAATGGGACTGACAATAAATCTTAAAAAAACTAAAGTAATGATGATTAGCAAAACCGATGAAAATTATCGCGTTAACCTAAATAACACTCAATCAGAACAAGTTCACAAATTCAGATACTTAAGACTAGTACTAAATGATAAGTGGGATCCAGATATAGAAATAAAAATACGAATAGAACGGGCTAGGAATATCTATAATAAATGAAAGCAAATTATCTATAACCGAAAACTAAGCTTAGACATCCGAATTCGAGTTATTAAATGCTATCTTTGGTCAGTCCTTCTATATGGAGTTGAAGCCTGGACATTAAAGTTAAATACCATGTTACGGCTAGAAGCCTTTGAAATGTGGCTTTATCGCACAATGCTCAAATTATCATGGACATAAAACATTACGAATCGAACAGTATTTAAACACCATAAATATAGAATTACAACTTATAACCACGATTAAGAAACGAAAGATGTAAAGACCTGCTACTATTAACAAAATTACAAACCTCCAGTAATGGAGTGCATTAGAGGATGAAGATTAGAACTAAAAAGAAACTATATTAAAAAATAATGTTTCAGAAAGTAACAACAAAAGGAAAATGGTTTTGTAAAACTAAATAGAATACGAATATTTGCAATTTGCAGTAGGTATATCTAAAATGAAAAAAAAAGGATTCTGGGCGATTTTACTACTAACTACCTAATTCATTGTCAAATAAAACAAAGACTCGGCATTTGCATATTATTGCTTAAAGCTCATTTCAGACGACTCGGCTATTACTAAATAAATAATCTATAGGATAAAACAATCAACATAAATAGTCATTTATAATAGAGATGGCAATAAAAATATCTACAGCTACTAAAAATCGAAGAAAATCTATTTATTTCTTTCAATCTAGTTCATTGTCATCATAGTTCTAAAAACAATTAAAATTAAATAGTGTTAAACAAATCAGCACACACTAACATAAACATTTAAGCCTTGTATGTAGGCAAGCCGATTAAAACCTTAACAAAAGCCCAAGATTAGAATAAATCCGGAAAAAAACAGTGTTCATAAATTGAAGTTTCAAAATAAGATTAAGAGATCAATGACCCATAAGACAAGGAAACTAAGATAAAATAATAAAGAAATTTAAGCAGAATAAATAGAGATCGCAAAAGAGTAGAATGAATCAGACGGAAAACCAAGGTCCCTAATGTAATCCACAGAATTAAATCTTAGGGTGCGTTCATTACGGACACCATCGCATGGTATCCTCGCCTAGATCATAGCACTGACAGTGAAGTGAATGCTTGCATTTAAAATAATGCATTTATTTTACCTGGCGATTGATACGATCTAAGCTGGAATACTATGGTCCAAGTCTATGGTCCGATAACTGGCTCGAGGCTGGGCGCTGCGCTTTGACGGTGAATGCATTTATCTTATGTGTCGATGATACTATGATACCATACTATGGTCGGTGCCTTGTTATGAGCGCACACTTATAGTTTGTCCACTGGAATTACACTTTCGTATCCAAGAGGCATCAAAAGAATAAGACGACGTCCAAACTTAAGATGGGACTATGACATAAAAAACCAAGGAAGTACAACATGACACAGAGAAACAAATACCTTTCTCCGAGGCTTTATGGCTCATCGTCAGATCTGACGCAAGCTTTTTGATCCTAATACAGGTTAGCGATAATTCTAAATTTTTTACTATGCATATTTTTGCCCACAATTTCTGCTATGAATTACGTCCATAAAACCTTTAATACATATATCGATATATGATATTTTTTAAATTAACATGTTTGGTATAGGAATAATAGCACACTCTGCCTATATTTCATCTGAAACAACGATTTTTTGGTTGTTTTAATTTTTAATTGTATTATTTAATTTTAATATTATTTATTATTTTATTTAATAATTTTAAAAACAGTATTTTTTAGAATATCTCAACCATTCACAAGCAAATTTCTGTAATTCGTTTTATAGAGGAGGTGTATTATTTACCAGAAGGCATGAATGTATATATTTTCTTTCTAAAATTCTATAATTCACGCTACAACATATTTCAATGTATATTGGGTCTCATCAGATAACGGTGGAAATCTAAGTATGACTCGGAGTCAGGCAGACATAAACCAAATTTCCCACTTTATAGGCTAGTCGCCCTACTCCATGCCATCCAGTTTGGATGACACAAAAATGTTTTACTTTCCGTTATATTAAATAGTTTTGTGTTATGTCAAATTGCATCAAATGGTTATCGTGAAAGAGCTTTTGTTCAACATCGATTGTGTGAAAATGTGTTATGATTTTAATAATGTTTTCTCATTTCATTGCACTGTTAAGCAAACGATTCTGTCTTTGCCCTATTTTATCTCCTTATTTCATTTATTTACGTACCTTACCTATTCCTTTTTATAAAATCTAATATTTCAATAGTTATCCTCTTTTGTTAATTTATTAGTTATCCTTGTAGCATTATCTTTTTACTCTGTATATCAAAAAAATCTAGATGAATTCCTATAAACACAACGTTTTGCCTTGTAGAATTTCAAACGATAAGAACGAAAAGATATACTATAAGTGTTTGATTTTAAAGTCTTAATTGAACCGAATAACGCTTTCTCTGTAATAATTGAGTCTTAAAATCATCGATTGGAATAAACAAAATTGAATCAGTATTTACATTAACAATGCAGCTGTAGATCCAATATTCCCTGTTGGGATTTTGAAGAAACCATTCCATTTTTTTGTCCCAGTACCATCAATTTCAGTTGAGCTAATTTAAAGTCGAGTAAAAATTCCTGTCTTCGTTCGCCCTTCAAAGATAAAAGTGAAAGTATAAGTTTTTAATAATTTTATTATTGAGAAACCTAGTATGGTTTCCCAACAAAACAAAACAAAACTCATTTACAGTAAGTTTTACATTTTTATCCTGCTTCAGTAGATCAGTAGATAATTACTAAGATGAATATTTTCGTATAGCGATCAATACAAGAAAGAAAAAATACCTATTATAGACCAAGATAAATTTTAATTTTTAATTTCTTTTAATTAACATTTATAATAAAGATTATTTTTAAACCTTTTACCAAGTCATTGAGAGAAATTAATATTTAACTATGTATTCGCTCCGTGCGTAACCACGGTAGGGGTACCTTGAAACGATGCCAGCGTGCGTAGCGGCGGAATATGTCATAATTGGACCTCTTACTCATAAATTTTACCAAAAATGAATGCAAATACATCTTGCGTATTTAATTGCGCTAATAATAGCAAAAATAGTGAGTGTAGTTTTTATAGGTTTCCTAAGATTACATATAAATTAGAGAAAAGAAAAAGGTGGATTCGTGCTATTAATATGATAAAATAAAAATCACATAATTTTATTTTTATGCAATTGAAATAGGAAAAATTTAAATAATTTACCTTAAATGATATTTCATAAGGCTTCAAGCTAACTGCAGCCTGACTGATGACTTTAACTTTTATATTATAACTTTTACTATTATTGTTTTTAACTATATGCTCTTCTACATAAAAATCTTAATTTGCCAGTACTAGATTTTTCCCTTTCTCTTCCGTTTGGGGTTGAAAAGATAAATTATACCGATTATGATGAGTTTATAGAAACCCAGATTTTAATACTACATTTATTTTGTACATAAACTGAAAAAATATATTTAAAAAGTATTAATAATTGTCAATTTCGTATGTATTTAGCATATGTTTAACCTCAAATTGGGAGGTCCAAAACTGCCAGATGAAGGCAATCATATGAAGGAAAATATTCAAATACATTATAACAAGTTTGCTGAACAAACATGTAAAGTAAGTGTGATCGTTTCTTATTATTTGTTTATATATGCATTTAGGTGTTTGTTTCTTGTTATTTGGTTATATATGTTTTTTGGTTTTAAGAGTTTTTACTTGTCCCTAACAGAAAATACATAGTGGCACCCTTTTTCCTTTATATTTGGTTAAATTTTTGACCATTTTCTTTCAGTTAGTATGATTAATCTTCTTTATTATTTCTGACTTCAGTATCCCTTATTCCTAATAAACGATTTACAGACCAACGTTCCAAAGCTTGTTGTTGTGTTCTTCAAAACACCTAAGTGTCGTTGGGAAGTAAACGTATCTACACCTAGAATTCTTCATTTATCTTATAGTTCCAATACGCAGATTTCATCGTCATCATCTTTGACTCGAAAATCCTCTGTGGATCCTGGCCTGCTCTAAGATTAGTCGCCATTATATTTCGATTTTTGGCAACGTGTTAACATCTTCTGATATCTAGTATTATTAAGTCGGTCTCAACTCCGTCTAACCACCTAATTTGCGGTCGGCCTCTGTTTTTTCTTCTTATAAGTGTTTATGTCGTTAGCTTTTTACTAATCATGTTTCAGGCATTCGTATTATGTGTCCGGCCCATCTAAGTCGCTGTAACTCTCCTAAACTTCCCTTTGGATTAATTTTTATATTACCCACAATAGTACTCAAATTATGGGCATCATTTTTCCCATACAGGTTCAATTTACGTTACTTCCTTTTTTGTTTTGTTTGGCTTCTTTTGCTCGTTATAGTAATATTTTTAGTTTCTTTCGGTTTTCTTGTATTTGCTTTGTTATCTTTTCTTCATTTATTACCTGAATACTTCTCTGTTACATCTTAATTACAGTTCAAAACGGAGATTGGGCAACTCCTTTTTAGTTTTAAACGTTTGTTAATAAATTGTGGTACTCTTGGTTAAAACAGAATGGATCGAAAAATTCAAAATATATTTTTTTACATATTTTTATTTATTATAAAATTCATACGGAGAAGGATTCTGTCAGTCCATAAAAACAATTTTCAATCAGTGTAGTAACCCTTTACTTTTTATACTGAACGTCTCTGGATCGTTTACAGTAGTGGTGTGGGCGATTTTTACAGCACTCTCTTTGATCATGCATGATCTGCTCTTTCAGATGAGAAATTCATACAACCAGTCAACAGTAGTTAGGTTAGTCACTGTTTTAAGTGCACTGAAACAAGGGGAACATCTGGCTGAGTAAGTTTACTTTTCAAATGTTTTGAATGTCTTTATTGATTGTTCGCATGTTTCTTGTCATTTTTGTATTTAACATTTTTATTAGCAACATTAATTTGAAGTAGATTTTATACCAATAGAGTATTGCGGGATATTGATTGCCGGTTTGGATTAGTAAAAAATCTTTATATCTTTAATTTGCTGTTATTGATCAGAATAAACTTATTTTCTACGGATATAATCCAAATTTTCTTAAATTTTGTTTATTTAAAGTAAGTTTTTTGTATCATTTTCATGTTTTAAGCTTTAGATTTTTACACTGCTTTTGTTTTATCTTTATTTTATTTATCCCATTTTCTATTTAAGTATTTTCATATTTAAGAATTTGATTTAAACTAAAAGGTTATAACCATTTTACGCAACGAAATAATAATTTTCTTATTCGATTTTATTCTTCTGTATTAGAAATGCTTCTAATGTTCTTGAAATTATCGGTTTTTAAAATTATTTTATTATATTTTATTATACGTACATAACTTCCCCTTTACATGCAGTTTGTAGTTGATCTCTAGCATTTTAGTTTAATTTTAAAAAGTTTACATTAAGTTGTGATTTACTCTCCAATTTTCCTGGAAATAGTTTCTTTATGATTTGTACTTTACTTTGTACATTCATTACATCATCTACTTCCTGGTTTACTAGTCGTTTATTTTCTTTCTTCTTTATAATTTTAACCTTTTTCCTTTTTTCCTTTTCTTATGGATCATTGAATTTTTCTTAATGTTCTCTTAATCTTATTTTTAAACCTATTTATCCTATGTTTGTTAGGTGTACGGTCTTTACTCAATTTATATATTTATTGCTGAATTTATTGGAATCTCGAGCATTTGCTTAGGTTTTAATCGTCTTTTAAGTGTTTATGTTAGTGTGAGCTGATTTATTATTTTAACAATGTTTAATTTTAATTGTTTTTAGAACTATAATAATGATAATAAATGATTGAATGATATCGATTTTCAATAACTTTAGAAATATTTTTATTGCCATTTCTAATCGATGAATTATGTTGATTCTTTTATCTTATAGACAATTTATTTAGTATAGCCGAGTCGCCAGAAATGATCTTTATATCTCAATATGCAAATATAGAGTCTTTGTATCGATTTCATTTAACAATGAAGAAGGTAGTTAGTATTAAATTTACCCACAGTTCCTTTTTTAATTTAAGATATGCTTTAACTTGCAAATATCCATATTCTATTTGGTTTTACATAGCCATTTTCCTTTTATGTTACATTCTGGAACATTTTTTCAATATAGTAGCTTTTTAGTTCTAATCTTCTTCTTGTGTACGCCATTACTGGAGGTTTACGATTAATACAAAAAAAAGTTCTCTACTCTGTGACACTCTTAGTAATTGTTGAACGTTCATGCCCGTTGAAGTTCTGTTATTGTGAAGTCATGACTTGGCACTTCTGCCTATTCCTCTTCAATACTCCATCTTCCTTTTAATTATTAATCGTAGCAGGTTATATTTGTCATTTCCCATTATTTTTCTTAGGTAGGTCTTTCTTTTCTGAATCATTGTTTTAAGTTCCAATTCTCTATTTTTGCTGTTTAATACTATTAGATTCGTAATGTGTTGTGTCCATGATATTCTGAGCATTATGCAGGAAAGCTACATTCGAAGTCTTCTAGCCGTCTCATGGTATTTCATTTTATTGCTTCAACTCAACTAGCTTAGTTTTCGGTTATAGATAATTTGCTTGCTAAAATTTTGATTGTTTCAATACTTAAAGATGTTCTTTCTTTTTATATGTGGTGCATTTAATTTTCTCTTCCTCTAATTGCATTTCACAGTTGGTGATCCCCAAAATAATTCAGGTTCAATCAATATTGTTATGAAATCATGTTTTTTTGTTCAACAATAACTTTTTATTCCGCTACGTTGGTAATAACGTTACTTTAGAGTTCGTGTAATTTTTCGAAGCTTCTCATATCAATGTAACATCACATTTTAATTATTAGACATATCGAGACACATTCACATGTGGCTATATCTATCAATACATCTATATCAAATTAAATCTACAATTGGCTATATCTTGACAAACATAAGTACATTTCTTTCACTGCAAGTACAGCAGTGAAAGTCAAAAAATATAATGTAGAATCTTAGGGAATCTCAACACAAAGGAACTTTATAAGAAAATAATTTGTGAAACACTAGAAGCATATGTTCAAGAGGGGAAGATGATATTGATGTCATTTAGGAAAAAATTACAAAGACCTTAAAAGAGGCTATTACATTTGCTTAATATAATTTGCACAGTTTAAATGAAAGCTTCAGAAATACGTATAAAATACTATGAGTCTGCCTAAAAGTAAAAGAAGTATAAGAAGAAAAAATAAGCATATCTGATATATCGTATCAGCAAGAACGTCATCGTCATATTAGCAAGAGCATAAGAATCGTATTATGAGTATAAATAATCATAATTAAAACACTAATACTGATGAGAAACGTAAAAGATCGGTATTATAAAACTTTCCCCAAAAAAAGTCATATGGCAAAAAATGTCATATAAGAACAATGGTAAATTATCCAATCACAACGCAAAGATATTAACAAACTTACTGTGACAAATCTAAGAATAAGACTGAAGTAATTATAGCTGATTTATATAACGCAATTAAATTAAATGCAATAAGGAACATATCTGAAATCGTATTTAGTTGGGTTTTTCATTATACAGGGTGCTGTCAAACTTGTCATAAAACCGGTATCCTAAATTTTTGTCTAATTCATTTTTTTTTCAAATGGGACACCCTGTATGTAATTCATTATTTTAGAAAAATATATTTTTCACTGTCGCTCTGTATTAGTATTCTCTTGTAGTTTTTAAATAAATTAACCTTATATATTTTTGTCACAAACAATTTATTTATCAAGTAGCCTATGGAATATTATGACTGAAATACTGAAATTGATAACTGAAAATATCAATTATTGCTAATGTTTATTAGTAAAATTGTTGTATGCCGTTGGGTGACAGGTATAATAATAATTTGCCTAATTTTGTTGACAGAATAATAATACCTCATTTAGGATATACAAATGATGATTTTTTAAATTTAATTATAATTTGTGGTGGGTGTAACAGAATAGTATTCAGAACATGCCGTGTTTTTGCTAAGAGATATCTTCGACCAAATCATAAAATTGTAAAACGTTTGTTGAACAAATGTTTCCAGTTTGGTCAGTTTATAAGTTAAAGGACCCACGTCGGTAATAAATACTTACAAATAGATATTCTGGAATATTTTGCAGCTAATTCAAATTCATCCTTACGGTAATGTGAGAAATTGTTACAGATATCGACTCAAACAATTCACACCATTTCAAAAAACATCATTGGACTCTTTCCTGGAGAATATGTAAGACTTGTAGAATTTTGAAAATGCCAAGATCAAAAGATCAAAATTTAACCACCATCAAGATTTAACCACCATAGCAGTCACTTCTATAGTGGCGAAAATCCTCAGCTCATGTTGGATAGTAAATTTGAATCATTCTTATCGATCACTGTCTTTTGTGCTGTCTGAAAAATAATAAAATAGTTGCTCTAATGATTTATGATGAAATTTTAAGCGGAGAGCGTTACAGCAACATGTTATGACAAGTAATTGTACCACCACTGCACGCTTTACATAATAATAAGGCTAACGAGGTTTGGTTTCAACAAGATGGAGCACCGGCTGACAATATTCGAGGAGTCGACGCATTGCTTGGTGCGATGCGAAATATTTAGCGATAGGCGGATAGCTAATAAATATCCAATTCTCTGGTCACCAAGATCCCGTTGTCACCGCTAGATTACTATATTTGGGGATATATTAACAATAAAGTGTTCTCTGAACCTACCACTACTGAAGAAGCTATAATAAATAAAGTCCTTTAAGTTCTTAATGAAATAGATGGAGAATCAATATCAAGAGTTACTAATGAAAATCTGATTAAAAGAGATCATAAACGATTGGATGTTAATGGGTAACATTTTGAACATTTATTACATTAATAAGCTAGTGCCCATTTTCTTTGATAGCATCTTTTTAATTGTTCAATGTTTAACTTACAATATGAAAGTTGTAAATTAACACAACATAGTCTACGAAATTTTTTTTTGTGACAAAAATGTATATAAAGTTAATTTATTTGAAAACTGCAAGAGGTAGGTATAGGAAATTCTAATACAGATTGATGGTAAAAAACAATTTTTTTTTAAATAATGAATCACATACAGGGTGTCCCATTTGAAAAAAAAAAAGGAATTAGGCGAAAATTTAGGATGCCGGATTTATGCCAATTTTTACAGCACCCCCTATAGTGAAAAAGTTCCTAAGGAATTTAAACTTTTATTCAAATTATGTTAAAGGATATTGAACTTTATATACATAGTAGAAAAGTGTAATTTTCTTATAAAAACCATTATAACCCAAAAACGGTTCACAATAGGTATAGGGAAATATTAACAAAAATTATTCAAAATAACCTATTTCTATTATATTCTAAATATTTCTAAAATTAGAAAATATACAGGGTGTCTCATTAGAAAAAACGAAGTTATAAGCAAAAAACGAAGTAACGAATAAGTACATAAAAATATCTTCATTCGATAGGTCACTCTTCCAAATCTCTTTATTTCAATTTTCTTGATTCAGTTGTCTCATTTCTATTGGCTTATACATAAGATTTTTGACCTCATCACGGGCGCTGTGACGTCATTACAATAGAAACTATTAAATGGATCATAGAGATGACGGTTCGATGAAATAAAAGGCTTTTTTATCCCAAAGTTAACGGTGTAGATACCAAAATACGCTAAATTTTTAATTTGATGACGCATTTATCATCTCCAAAATAACCTAAAACTATCATATTTTTATAGTTTTTATAAATTCATATATAGTTTTTATAAAAAGAAAAGCAAGTTGTCCTTGAGATTTTATTTAAATCGTTT